AATATTCACTCATCGTGACAGTAAAATAGGGCATTCTAAGTCAATATACTGCAGTATTTCCTCTCTCAATCAGTAGAAAATATGGTTAACACCCATTCATGCATGAAAAAAAAAAAATACCGTCATGTACTGTGAAACCGGTATAATTTTGAAAAATACCGTGATATAAATTTTTGGTCATACCGCCCAGCACTAGTTGCTAGCGTGTTCTGATGTTGCTATGCAGTTACTAGGGTGTTGCTAGGATGGTCTGAGACTTTACTGTTGGTGTTCTGGTTGATTGCTAGAGCATTCCTATGTGCTTTTTTTCTTTTTACATGGTATTTGGTTGCTAGGGTGTTTTGTCTCATAGCTAGAGCATTGCTAAGGTGTTCTGACTGGTTTTTAGCATGTTGCTAGTTACTAGGTTTGTTGAAATGAGCAAGAGGGCATGGTACCGATGAGGCATTTAAAAGCCCAGAGTTTAGGAGTGACATGCATGCTGAGTTATTTTGACATCAGTGATATTTATGGGACATAGTGGGCCCCGAATGAGATATAAACATATTTTATCATCAAATTAAAATAAACATTATCATAGCAGCAGCTTTACAACAACAACAAAAAATGCCGTATTATTGGACTTTGTTCACAATTTCTAGTGCAGCAGCAGCAGCTGTTAGAGAGACCAACGATGTAGGTCATTCACGATACTCTCAGTATGCGGACCCCCAGACGGAGGTATGCGCGGGCGTTCTTCTTTAAATCAAATCTCTGGGTGGGATGAAAACGCCAGACGGTTTTTCCATGACTCCCCATGAGATGGTGAGCTGTCCTTGCCAGAAAAACACATCATCATCATGGGCCAGTGCAAGGTTATGTTTGTCTGAAACAAATGATAACTTTCCTACTGGCTACTTCGATCTATGACATCACCTCTGCAACGCTGCCAAATCTCCAAATTGCCCAAGCCATGATGACTAATCTAATTTGTACGAGATAATGAATGTAAGCTATGAAAATGTTCATACGAGAGATGTTGTGTTGATGTGATAACTCGCTAATATTTTCCGGCTGAAATGTAACACGGAACCCGCGAACTTTCGTAGGCTTGTGGTCTCGTTGGCTTTATGTAAGATTTCATAACAAATTACTGAAATGGGAAAACAACGAAGCATTAGTAGCAATAGTTATGGCCCATTAAAGCACTCAATTCCCATCAAAAATGATCCATCCAGTCCGGAACTCCACATCCATAAATCCGCTATTGTCTTCTCTGATTGCAAAATAAACAGTAGGAAAACAAAAGCCAGCAGCTCTGAGCAACTAAACAAAACTGTACAAATCACATCCTGCCTATATGGTTTAGTCAGAAAAAAACCCAAACACAGATGCGAATGTTTGGCCAACACATTGCATGCACGTGATTTCGTTGAACATGCATTAACATGAATGGAATTTGTCATTCTTTTTACTTACGAAATGTGAAGTATTCAGTGTTGAGTAGTAATTGATTACATGTAATCTGGATTATGTAATCAGATTTCAAAAATTAAGTACTTGTAATTATATTATATTATATTTAAAAAACACTCCTAAACTAGTTACATTTTTATTGATTACATCATTGTATATTATTCACACAACAGCAATAAAGTATTCACAATTTATTGATTCTCCCTAATTCTTTTTCATC